GCGGGTGAGAGAGCGAGAGAAAGAGAGTGCCGCGTGAGCGCGCCGCGCACTCTCTCACGCTCACTCATGTTCCACGCTCGAGTTCGCCGCGAGTCCCATGAGCTTCCTCGAGAGAAAGAGAGAGAGAGAAAAACCGAAACGGAAAGTGTAGAAATTTGTAGAGTGCATTTCATTAGCGGTTGGAGGCGGATGAATAGGGCATGTATTGGAACCATTTGCAATTCGGCAGGCGCAGGATTTTGTGTAGACACATGTAGCACTCACTCACCTACTGTGAAAAAAAGTAGGTAGGTTTACAGAAAAATTTTCCCTTGACGCCGGTTGTAAAATTCCAATTTGTAATCGTAAAAATACATGCAGTACGTATCGACTTCAAATCGGTTGGCGAGTAAAAAATATGAGTTTGTAAATTTACAAACTTAAATAATAATTCGAGTTAACAAAAATTCTGTAAATTTACGACGTTTTTTTAACAGTGCCTCAAGATAAGATTAAAGTGGCGCAGCTAACTGTCATAGCTGCCTCCACTGCACCTATGCGACTTGGGCTCTCCCTATCGGCGACAGAGGATTAGCATGATCTGATAGATCAGCAACTGGCTTACGGTGTGCGAAAGGGGGGGGGGCGATAATGTACAGCAGTGCTTCATTAAGGAATCGCACGGAAAGCACCAATTCCGCACCAGAGAAAAGGGCAATTTCAGTTTCCAGTAATTTCTGCTGTAACTTCCGAGCCCATTGGCATATATAAAAACGAACCGAAGCACCGGGTGTTTCTGACACCCTTTTACCGAGGGGGTGATCAGTCATGCGAAATGTGTACAATGATTTTACGGAAAGTGACTTTTTTTGACTTTTTTTTGACTTTTTTGTGACTTTTTTGTGACTTTTTTTGGGGGTTGTACAATGATTTTTCGAAGTGATCCCCCCCTCGCCTTTTACTTACATTAACAATCGTTTCTTTTTCAAAAGTTCTGAACTGTCAACGCGTTCAGTCTTAAGTGGCCACTTGGTGCTCACGATCAGCTTGATTCCCTCCCCTCCTCACCTCTGTTAAATTCTTACAGAATTGAACGGGTTGAATTGGTTTGTTTTTAAAACCATTTTAACCCTAAATTGTTGCTGGACGATGGAAAAACCTTACGAATATTGGACACTTATTCCTGAATAACCTGGACTGCCTTCAGATGTATTTACGTACCGTTCAACGAAGTCTATCCGCAGTTGGTCTGTATCCAGTAGTAATCCGTCAAATCCACAACAATATTTGGCTTTGGCACTCACTCACTCACTCAATCACTCACTCACTCGTCACACTGGCTGTCACTCCCGCTACCGTCTCGTCGCACGGTGCATCGACGCGACACCGTCACCAGCGCACTCTCCGCCTCGCGTACGGCGCTCCACGACCAACTGACCAACATCAGCCGCGGCAGACAGCGCGCGGGCCCTGCAGCCCGGAGGAGCGAGCGAGAGAGAGAACGAGAGAGAGGGGCGTGCGGCAGAGAGAGCGAGAGAGAGGCGGGTAGTGAAAGGAGTAGAGGGGGTGCCCCTCCTTGGGCGCGCCGCCGCACCGCACGGCTGAGGTAGGAAAGAGAGAGCGTTGCGGTCCGCCCGTCCGTCTGCGTACCTTTAGTGTCCGTCCGTCCGCCGGCTGGAGGGGCTGCTGTACCCAGGGGGGGTTCCTCGCCGAAGGGACTCCCCGCTGGAGGGGTTGCCGGCTGGAGAGCGCTGCTCCGGGAGTGTCACCTGTGCGCAGTCCTCGACGAGGTGCTCCAGCGGTGCTCCAGGACATCTCCATTTACATGCAGAGCCCATCAACGGAGAGGCTGAGAGAACAATGAGCTGCAACATAGATAAAAAAAATAATTTACGCACACATCTTAGGTCAAATTTAAATTTGGGAAAAACATTCTTTGGTTAAAAATCAAAGTATATCAATCGAAGAACACATTTGAGAGAAAGCTGAAATCACCACGCAAGTCGTGTGCGAGCGCCCAGGGGATTAGGCAGCCCATTCGACGCGACGGGAGCGCCCGGAGCGCTGGCAGCCCAACGCGCACCGCGTTCGGCGGCCCTACCCCGTGCCGACAGAGACCCCACCCTCCGCAAGCAGGCCGCGGGGTCGGGGACGCCCTCTGGCGGCAAGCCACGGCGGCAGGCTACGGGTAGTAAGATGTGTGTGTACAAGTCGGGTGAGAGGCCGCCGGACCGAGACCGAGACGGTTACCACCGGCGAGTCGCCAAGCCAGACCGACGCAACTCGCACGGCCAACGGTGTCAGTTACGCCCAACCTTGAGCACCACGGCGGCGGCGGCGGCGCCCTCTCAGCTGGGTGCGTCTGATCCTGGGTCGGACAGCGCCTCCTGGATGCGGAAACGGTCTCCAGCATGAGAGAGATGGATATGAATGGACGGTGTAATAAAATGGGAAAAAATGAAGGCGGCCAGCGAGGCGAGTGTTCGATACTCTCGATACTGTGATCACGAGGTTGGCCGTGTGTGCGAGATTTACGAGTGGGAGGACAAAGAGTCGGCCGCGTCCGCGAGCGCGCAGGCGGGAACGGCATTTCGAACGCGGCTCGGTTGGGCCACACCTGCCTGCTGGGCTGCTGGACCGGGCAGCGGACTCTACACTGTCGAGTCACATTTTATTTCAAAGTTATGAAAATGGAGGCATGACTTTTCATTTTGAGTCGTGTGGACGCGCGCGCCGCGCGCGCGCGCCTGTGTGTGTGTGTGTGTAAAGGCCGACGGAGGTTTATACAAACGCACGAATGCAAGCGTATAAGTATTATCATAATGTAATATATTTTGTGATCACAAAAAAAAAAGATGATGTTCACTTAGATATGGAACAGAGAACAAGAGCTTTGATCAGAAACGAAACATAACATTGAAAAAAAAATGCATGATATATCACAATATTTCAAACGACCACAGCATAAATGGAGACAAAATGTATGTAGGATAAATTACAAACTATCACATTCCTACAGAGGTAGTGGCTCGGTAGTATATATATATTAATCGTTTTTCGGCATTGTTTGGATTGTTGGCGTCGTGATGTCAATAAATATTTATCCAGGGCAGTAGGACTCGCGCAACGAGCTTCTCCGAGGGTGTCTGCACGCCACTCCTGATATCGCACCGTATCGCACCATCGTTACCGAAATGGTAATTAAATAATCGTAGAAAGAAGATTCTATATGAATAGAGATTATAAGATCGTGATGTAACAATTCGCAATTCGATTTGCGGGTAAAGTAATTCTGCTATACGAAAAAAGAGGAACACAATATTAAAATCGCTATTATTACACACCCGGAAGACTTGAACAAAAGGTGCTCGCAAAATTGTACAATGACATTCCGCCTACCACGTGTAGACCCAGTTTGATCCAACTGTCCACAAAAACGGTGGCATTTCATTCAGTTTCGATGGAAAATCATTTATGGTAACACAATGGCGTAATGGGAATCGAAGTTTCACAGCTCGAACTGTTGAATAAAAATGTAGAATGGCAAAATGCAGTGTGCAAGTAAAATCTCGGGAATGATTCAGTAATATTAACGATTGCCACAACCGGCCAGATTACCCGCACTGAACGGGTACAGTCCGCAGCGACCATTTTCACTTCTTTGAATTATTCTCTTGTAAGTCTGGCGTCCACGAGCTGCTTAAGTATCAAATCAGTCAGATAGGTATAAAATGCTGCCTTCTACAGTCCAGTCTGTATAGTCACACTCTTAAAACAACTTGTAAAAAGAGAAGCTGCCTCCCAGTAATTCTAAAATACTTGTGAACAATAAGAAGCGCCATCCCGTTGAGATCCGAGGGTTAAATGAATCACAGACTGGCTCATCCAACTAAGACTGGCCTCTTGCAAGCGCATATGCAAGGTCTGCGCGAATCATGTGCTAGCACCGGGGTATTCATTCGCATATGGCGCAACCGGGGCATTTCGTATTTCAGATTTTTAACAAGCATCCATGAAAACTACAAAACTATTGCTTTAGCAATGGACGGCATGGAAGGCGTTGAAATTTTCTCTGGTCTAGCTGCAGCTTCCCCGGTCGACATACAAAATTCTTCTTATGTACAATATTTACAACTAAAAGAGGGTTCAACCGAGCTTTTAAAAAAACGCGAACCCTTAGTAGATGGGCGTTATGCTTAACTGTACAGAAATATTTACAAAAAGGAAAAAACAACATATGATCCATCACGGGCCAATATTTACTCATTTGACGCGAGTAAACCCCGAGAGCATCATCAAAACAAAACGAAATTAAACTCAATAATTCAGTATAAAAATAAATAAAGCTAAAACATGTACACATGATGGGTCACGCGAGCATGGATCCAATACAGCAGAGGCGGGCGCAAACACGGTGTACAGTGCTTTTGTTATGTCGAGCCCCTACTTAATAATGTGAGCAGTATTCTTCAGGCGAGGCCCGAAAATTATAAATAGAATAACAGCGGCGTGGCTACCACCATCACCATTTCTGGAAGATAATAAAACTACGAAATATTGAATGATATTATTGCTGATGAGATTCCGAGAGCAGTTAAAGGGCAGTGACGAGCACCGCGTCGCGATGCCTAAAATTCATGTCTTTTACATTTTTTCCCCAACTCTACCGTGTGCGGTCACAACCCGTTCAAGATTTCAGAAAACTTGGCGGGTATTTTAGTTTTTTTTTCCGATAGCGGAGTAAGTGAAGGTCTCTCGACCCGTGTATACTTGGCGCGAGGCGAAGAGGCCGTGGATCGGTTCTTTAGCCGCACTCCACGGTCAGTCCGCCAAGCGCCCGGAGGCCAGGACCGGCGCAGCGGGGAGGCTTGGCAGTCCCAACTGGTCCGATGAATCCACCACCTGCCAGGGGCAGCGGTGTGAGCAGGTGACCACAACGCCAGGCTCAGTACACCCCCGCCAGTCCCCTGGGGGGCGGGCTGTCCGGCGGCGGCGGGGGGCGGGCGTAGTGGAAGGGGTAGTCGTACTCGACGGGGTCCTGGACAAAGTCCTCGGGACGCGGCAGCGGCTCCGTTCGCCGCCCAGTCCCGAGGCGGGCGGCGCCCTCCTGACCCAGGAGGAAGACGCCGGCCGCGGGCCTGGGGGCGAGGAGCTCTAGCTACAACTCCGTGACCGGTATGGGCTTCTGCAGGCTGTTCATGTAGTCCTCGGGGTCCGAGAACGTCTTGTGGTACTCCTGCTCCTTGCGCGAGATGGCGCGCTTGTTCCAGCGGTAGCTCTTGAGCGCGGCCCGTATCCGGTGCCGGCACTTGAAGAGCACCAGCGCGATGAGCGCCACCACGACGGCGGCCGCGCCCGCGCCGATGGCGATGAGCGCCTGCTGCCGGCCGTCCAGCTGGCGGGCGCAGCCGAGCCGCTCCGCGTCCAGCTCGTCGAGGGGCTGGCCGCGGAGGGGCAGCGGCGCGGCGCACAGCGTGGGCGCGGCCCGCCAGCGCTGCAGCAGCTCGGGCAGCCAGCGCAGGCCGCAGCCGCAGCGCAGCGGGTTGCCCGCCAGCTCGGCGGCGCGCAGGTCCCGCCACGACACCATGTCCTCGGACAGGTGCGTCAGCTGGTTGTTGCGCAGCGACAGGTGCCGCAGCTTGCTCAGCCCTTGCAGCGCGCCGTCCGTCAGCGCCGTCAGCTTCTTGTTGGAGGCCAGCGTCAGCGACTCGAGGTTGGCGTTGTCCCGGAACGCGCCCTTCTCCACCGTCTCCAGGAACGGTGCGCCGGACACGTCCAGCTTCCGTAGGTTGGTCAGGCCCTGCAAAGAGAGGTGTCGTTGTTACTGCTGAACAATATCTCCAAAAACATGTACAATCGCAAACACATTTGATGATGTTTGCTCTACCCTCTCATCAGCACTAACCTGGAACGCCGCCACAGCCAGCACGGCGAAGTGGTTCTGGCCGAGGATGAGCTCCTCGAGGCGCGCCAGCCTGGCCAGGGTGGCGGTGGGCACGGCGGCCAGCTTGTTGTCGGCCAGGTTGAGCGTGCGCAGGCCGTCGAGGCCGCGCAGCGAGGCCTCGCTCACGTTGCTCAGCCCGGCGCCCGCCAGGTCGAGGACGGCGAGGGTGCTCAGCCCGTGGAAGGCGTTGTCCTCCAGGGTCGAGAAGGCGTTGAGTCCGACGCGCAGCTCGGCGAGCCTGGTCAGCGGGCGCAGCGCGTCCGAGGGCACGTGGCGCAGCTGGTTGTCGTCGAGGTGCAGCACGCGGAGCGCGGCCAGGCCGTCGAAGGCGCGCGGGTGCACGGCCGCGATCCTGTTCTGGCCCAGGTTGAGCTCCTCGAGGTGGCGGAGCGCGCCGAACTGGCCCGGCCCGAGCTCCATGAGGAAGTTGCCGCGCAGGCTGAGCACCGTCAGGCTCAGCAGCCCGTGGAACGTGCCGTTGTCCACGGCCGAGATCTTGTTGTGGTCCAGGTGCAGCTCGAGCAGCTTGCGCTGCGCCTCGAACGCCCGCATCGGGATGCTGACGAGCGCGTTGTGCGCCAGGTCCACGTACTGCAGCTCGCCGTAGAACTGCAGCGCCGCGTCCACCGTGCGCACGCGGTTGTAGCGCATGCCCAGCCGCTGGATCGAGGGGTTGAGCGTGATGGGCACCACGTCCAGCGAGGCCGACTCGCACATGACGACCAGCGTGTCGTCGTCGCACTGGCAGCCCTGCGGGCACATGGTCTGCGCCAGCGCCTGCGGCAGCAGCAGCAGCGCCGACAGCGCCAGCAACGCCAGCAACGCGCACCGCCTCATCTGCAAGCAATTAAACACACAAAGTCACAAAAAAAGTTCCGAAAAACAGGCCCGTCTCTTTGTTCTTCCTGGTGAGGAAATAATAGAGCCACAGAGCTGCGGGATTGAGTCGGCTAACGTCAAAGGTGACGACGGCGTTTCAAGACCAAGTCAGCCGTTCAGTATAAATTATTCACTCAGGTTGGCGGCCAAACGTTTGTGTTGACCGGCTGTAACAGAGCCCCCCTCACGACCCATTTACTTACGCAGTGTCACGTTTCTTTAGCTTTCCTGCCAATTACCTCACGCAAAATTCGTAAATACTCTGCGGTCCTTCCCGCGCCATCACTTTTTCTTTTATTCAGACTACCTCTCTCGCTCGTCTACTGACGTCACCACCTTCTGCCGTAGCCCGCCTGACTGATTCCTCCTGCTGTCTAATCCCCTTCACTATTAAACCATTCTTTTTTCCCCTTCCTTTTTTTTTTGTATTTCTGTTTGATTTAATGTTTTTTTGCCGCCCGCTGTGCGCGCCGGCAAGACGGGGTTCAGTCGTACCGACCGGCTGCGGGGCGGCGGCGGTATAAGGGGTTGACGATGACGAGAGAGCAAGGAGTGGAGAACCAAAAGAGAGTATAAGAGAGGGCAGAGAAAAAGTACTAACGACGCCACAGGAAACGTACACGCGTGCCCGTACTGCCACGCTCCCCCATCCTCTCGCCCTCCTCCTGCTCCCCCAACATCCGCACCCCTGCTCCCGCCCGCCCCGCCCCGCCCGGCGCTAGCCGCTGCTGGCTGCTGGGGTGGTGTGAGGCTGCGTCCGAACGGCATACTCGCGACATCCTGCCCCTGGCGGCTGCAGAGGGAGGGAGCGGCAGCAGCCGTCGCCACCGCCTCGAACGCCCTCCGCCACGATGACGGGGACAAAGGGCGGCGGTGGCTGGAGGCGATCTGAGAGCAGGAAGGGATGGATGGGGTGGGAAGGGGAGGGGGAGGGGAGGGCGGAGTAGGGTAGGGCTGTGGCCGGGCGGGCAGGAGGGGCCCTCCCTCGAGTTGTGCCAACCCCCGACCGCATTCGTCTGCGTTCCCCGCTCTCGCTGCTGCTGCTGCTGCAACTCCCTCGCGGCTCCTGCCCAACCCACCACCCCTGGTGCGCGGCCAGGAGCAGGAGCTCACTACTCACACCGCCACTACAGGGAGCGCCGTAACATACTTCAGCGACCGCCACTGCCACTCCACCCCGCGCAGCAGGCCGCCGCCGCCGCGCCCGGACGCGCCGGGACGGACGGCCAAACGGAGCCATTCCGCGTATCGAAGCTTTAGCGCGGAATAATAGACCGGAAACTGCTTGCGTTGCACCGGGTGAGTGAGCGAGCGAGCGAGCGAGAGAGAGAGAGAAAGAGAGAGAGAGAGCGTTGGCCTGGCGCAGCGGGCCGCGGCGGCGACGCGCGAATCAACAGCGATGACGAATCGGCAGCCGGGCAGACAGAGATAGAAGGGGAGGAATAAGAAACTATTTGCGACGCACGCACCACTGCCATTTCAAGCGCAAAGGCGAAGAGGGATCGCGGAGAGGAGGGGAGAGGGCGGGGCACATCTTTCCCATGGTGGGACGCGTGGGACTTGTTTCCAGAGAGAGAACGGGCTGGAAATGGTGAAGGGCTTACTAGAAAAGGAGTACAGTACGGTCGAGTTAAAACCCCCTAGCACGTCCTGCGGGGGTAACTTGTATGAATGGAACAGACGCTTATGGCGAAAAAGCCTTCTGTGTGCACGTTCCCACAGAGAGCGGACAGGTCAGCGGCCTTTCTAATTTCCCCCAGATAACCATCTGGCCGACACCTAAACCCGCCCCTCCCCCACCCCAATCGTGTCGAGTAGGGGTTCCGACCGCTCAATTTCTCATCCGCGGCTGACAACACCGGGCGGGCGGTCCGGCCCCGGCCCCGGGTTGGGGTGTCCGATACGGCCATATGGTGCCGCCAGTGCCGCCTATGCAGCGCCCGGGCCGCGCCAGATCTGGCCGGGGCTGTCCGGGCCCGGGCCCCACCCTGGATATATATGGGGCGTGCACTATCGATCGGGCCGCCGCCGGGTCCCCCGCTGCGCGCCCCGCCCCGCCGGCTGCGAGCCCGGCACATCCATCCCTTGCTGATTACGCCGTTTCTAATAGCTTCTTCACCCCGCCCCGCCCGGCCCCGCCCGGCCCTGCCCGGTCCACTCTCGCGGTGGCGTCAGATGGCCACGCTCCCACACCGCTGCCGTCTGGGCTGCCTGCCGACCCCCGCAGAGGGGCGCACCCCCGGCGAACACGATCCGCCTC